TACCTTGGTTGCGGGCACATCCCCAGTAGGGAGTGTGCAGGAGGCAGCTGATCGATGTTTCTCTCTCATCGATGTTTCTACCTCTCTATCCCTCTCCTTCTCCCTTCCTCTCTGTAAAAAAAAAATCAATAAAATATATATATTTTTAAAGACTTTATCCTGGGGCTTCCAACACATTGTGTGTATCCTCACCCCGCCCAATGGTCCCCCAGGGCAGGAGGGAATCTTGGGAGACTGTTGACCCGCATCTCCCTCTTGCAGATGTTTTCAAGAATGCTCTCCGCCTGGGCACCTTCTCAGCCGTGCTGGTCACCTATGCAGCCAGCGCCCTCCTGCACGTGAGCAGGGTGAAGGGGGATCAGGGTGGGAGCGGGGCAGGGGTGGCAGGGCCTCCTCTTCACTCACCTCATTGCCCCCTGGGACCCCACCAGGGCTTCAGCTTCCATCTGGCTGCGGTGCTGCTGTCTCTGGCATTTATCACTTATGTGGAACACGGTGAGTTTAGAGCCCAGCCTAGGAGACAGGATGGAAGGTTGGTAGGGGGCTAGAACCACTGTCCCCTAAGGCTAACCTGACCCCCTTCCCTCCCCACATCTACCCCAGTCCTCCGGAAGCGCCTGGCTCGGATCCTCAGCGCCTGCGTCTTGTCAAAACGGTGCCCACCAGACTGTTCACACCAGCATCGCTTGGTGAGGGTTCAGCCTGGGCAACCTCAAGCCCAACACCCGCCCCTCAAAAATGTTGCTTCTGTCTCCATCTTATATGTGTCTCAGGTTGCCCAGCTTCCTGTTCTGGAGCCTGAGCCATCCCAGAACCTCACCTCTGTTCACTGCCATGCGTCTCTCTAACAAACATTTATCAAACACCTGCTGTATGCACACCAGGCATTCATGTCCCCAGTGAACATTTATTCAACACCTGCTGGTACCAGGCACTGTTTTAGATGCTGGAGACACAGTGGTGAACAACAGACTATAAAGTTCCAGCCCTCTGGGACAAACATTTTAACAGGGGAGTCAGTAAATAAAAAAATAAGTCCGTAAAGTATAATAGTTTGTTAGACGGTGATTAGTGCCAAGGAGGAAATACACAAGGGAAAGGAGAAGGGAATTATCAGGGGGTGAATGGATTCCATTTTAAATAGGGAGGCGCCTTTTGAGTTCCTTAGCTGAGGGAGGTGAGGGACAGAAGCATTCCAGGCAAAGGGAAGAACCAGTGTACAGGCCCCAAGACGGGAGAGGGCCTGGAATATTTCAGGAACAGCAAGGAGGCCAGTGTGGCTTGAGCAAAGCGAGCGAGGGGGAGAATGATGGGTCCTGTAGGACATGCTAGGAATTTACTTTTGATTTTTGTTTTTTTTTGGTTTTGTTTTTTCCTTCTGCTTGCAATAAGAAGTATGGGCAACCTCAGATTTGTCTCCTATCAGACAACTGATGTTTCTTACCATAAATCCCCGAGTCAGAGCTCCACCATTCTGCCTCCTTTGCCTGAATACTCGCATCTCCCCCAACTTGGACACCCTCAATGCAAACAGTACCCTGAGCCCTGGATACCTTTTGAGCTCCCATAAGAGGATCTGAACCATCTCTTTCCTACCCGGGGGTGCCACGGACATCCTCCTTCCTGGAACCCACTGCACTTTGTGCATCTCCCTGGGTTCCCCTGCCCAGGTGGGACTGAGGGACAGTGAGTAGGTCCAGCTGCCAAGCAAATCCATCTGTCCCCCACAGGGCCTGGGGGTACGAGCCTTAAACCTGCTCTTTGGGGCCCTGGCCATCTTCCACCTGGCCTACCTGGGCTCCCTGTTTGATGTCGATGTGGATGATACCACAGAGGAGCAGGTGAGGTGGGGCCCTGGGCTGGGGGTACCCAGGGATGTGCCACCTGCTCATGGGAACCATGAAGACAAAGGGGGGCGGGGAGGCTGAGACATGAGGACCTTGTGTGGTGTGTCTCTAGCTTGTGCAGCCAGTGCTCCTCGGTCCTTCCTTCCCATTGTCCCTCTGGTTGATTGGCACTGCTGCGTCTTTTATTTGGGTGAAGTTTGCAAAATATATTTATTTTACTTATTTTATGGAGATGGAATGCAAAATCCAGGTTTTACTTTTTTTTTCAATTAGTCATCTCATCATATTTTTGTTTAGGTCAAACCTGCAAGGTTTATTCTTATTTAATTTTTTAAAAAAATCTTCACTCAAGTTGATTATGCAAACTCTAGGTCAGGGATCCTCAAACTTTTTAAACAGGGGGTCAGTTCACTGTCCCTCAGACCGTTGGAGGGCCAGACTATAGTTTAAAAAAATTATGAACAAATTCCTCTGCACACTGCACATATCTTATTTTGAAGTAAAAAAACAAAACGGGAACAAATACAAAATTTGTATTTGCATGTGGCCCATGGGCCATAGTTTGAGGACCCCTGCTCTAGATTCTACTTTTAAATGTATATTAAAATGGATAGGCTATTTTTATTTATGTGGAGTATGCACATTCCAGATTTTACTCCTTTTTAAATTAAAAACAATTTCTAAAATAATGTTTTCTCACATAGCTCTTGCAGGATCCAGGTTTTGCTTCTCTTTTAAACTTTTGTTTTTAATTAAAAATAAAACTTTATATTATTTTCATCATTAAAAACAGCTTTTAATTTTTAATCAGGTTGAGTGTGCAAATCTGGGTTTTGCTTCTTTTTGTTTTGGGGGTTCCTTTTTGTTGCTTTTCAAAGAGAGTAGAAGGGAGGGAGGGAGAGGGGGAGAGAGAGAGAGGGGGGCGAGAGAGAGAGAGCGAGAGAGAGAGAAACATTGATGTGAGAGAGACACATCAACCAGCTGCCTACCACACACACCCGGATCACGGGGTGTGGAGTGAACCTGCAACTCAGGTATGTGCCCTTGACCAGGAATCAAACCCGAGACCTTTTGGTGTGTGGACCAATGCTCTAACCACTGAGCAACCAGCCAGGGCAGGGTTTTGCTTCTTTTTAAATAAAGTTTTTATCTTGTTTTAATCAAAACATTTAAAAATAGTTAGTGTATATCACAAAGTTAAAAAACCAAACCGTATTCAAGATATTCAGGGAAAAGTCTTGCTCCTACGGTCTACTCACTGCCCTCTTACAGGTAACCACTTTCCTTCATTTTATTAGAATATCTTTCAAAAATGTAAGCATAATAAGCAAATATAAAAACATCTTTTGATTCACTCCCCTGGTTTTTACCCTGAAGGTAACTCATGGATGACAGTGTGCGCTACATGTTGCTTTTCTATATAATAATCCTTGGAAATCTTCCACATCAGTACATAGTGTCCTCACTCATTTTTTTTCCACTGTAAGGCTATGACACAGGGTAGTTTGTCCCTTACCAGTGGACACCCAGGTGATTTCCAGTCCTTTCCTATTGCAAATGACATTGCAGCAAGTAATATCCTCATACCCATGTAGATTCACACAGGTGCAGACAGAACTGTAAGATTGATTTTTGGTAGTTGAAATGGAGAAGTTACTTTTTTGCTCTCCCACCAGCAGTGTGTGAACCAACAGAGTGCCTCTCAGACTTTCTGGATGTTTTTTGCCAGTTTGAGAGGAGGAAGATTATGAGTGAGGCCATAAATTTAAGAGCTGTTTGGTTTTTTCCTTTACTGAGAATGGTCTACTCACCTCCTTTGCCAATTTTTGTCTTTTTAAAATATTGATTTCTAGGAGCTCTTTACATACAAAGGAGAGTACAGATCAGAGAGTGGGGTTATCTTGTCCTGCCTTTAAAATGATTTCTAAAGAAAACATGAAAGAAAAAATCTAAATCTTACGTTTTATATGCAGAGTACAGGTCAGACAGTGGGGTTGAAGAAGAAAACACAAAGGAAATAAAACTAAACCTGTTTATCTTTCATATTACCCAGTTTTTTCTCTGGGGCCTCAACTAAGGTCATCATGGAGTCACAGAAATGGCCTTGAGCAAAGGATGGGTTTTCCTAAGACAGTGATGGCGAACCTATGACACGGGTGTCAGAGGTGACATGTGAACTCATTTTTTTGGTTGATTTTTCTTTGTTAAATGGCATTTAAATATATACAATAAATATCAAAAATATAAGTCTTTGTTTTACTATGGTTGCAAATATTAAAAAAATGTCTATATGTGACACGGCACCAGAGTTAAGTTAGGGTTTTTCAAAATGCTGACACGCCGAGCTCAAAAGGTTCGCCATCACTGTCCTAAGACCTTTGTTCTTGCTGAGTGGGACCATCACCTCTTTCTCTCCCACAGGGTTATGGCATGGCATACACTGTCCACAAGTGGTCAGAGCTCAGCTGGGCCAGTCACTGGGTCACTTTTGGATGCTGGATCTTCTACCGTCTCATAGGCTGAGGCACATCTGTGGACCCTCCAACTTCCCTCAAGACTCAACCCCTCCTCAGGGTGCCAGCTCTGATGGAGGATGAGGGATGGCCCTCTAATTCTTGACCCCGCTCCATCATAGTCCCCCTAACACCCTTACACACACACACACACACACACACACACACACACACACACACCATTTTCATGCCTGCTGATCCCCACCCCACCACAAGGCGGGAAGGGGGTGGTCCCTGCTGGGGCCAAGGGATGGGGGATGCTTAGGGAAGCAGAGAGGGGGAGATGCACAGAACTTCCCGCCTTCCCACTCCCTTTTTATATACAGTTTGTTATTGTCAAATAAAAGTAGGAAATATACAAAAGACTCTTTCTTCACTGCTTAGTGGGGAATAGAATTGAGTGAGGAAGGGGGTACAGCATGGTTAAAGGTTTGGAAGCTGGAAACCATGAAGAGGGAGCAGTTTGTGATTAATTCATTGTTCATGATTGGATGATGAGATAAAAGATGGCACTGCCTGATATAAGTAGGACTGGGACAAATTAGTTGTGTGTGGGGGAGGCCTGATACCAATGGGCAGGAAAACTGATTGGTTGCTCTAACTGGGACACAGAAAAGAGCAAGACACAGTTCAGCCTGGCCAGCATAGCTCAGTGGTTGAGCATCAACCTATGAACCAGGAGGTCACAGTTCAATTCTAGGTCAGGGTACAGGCCCGGGTTGCAGCTTGATCCCCAGTGTGGGGCATGCAGGAGGCGGCTGATCAATGATTATGTCTCATCATTGATGTTTCTAACTCTCCCTCTCTCTGATATATATATCTCTCTATATATAAAAGCCTAAGAGACCGGCCAACCGGCCTACTGGCCAGTAGCTATGATGCACACTGACCACCAGGGGGCAGATGCTCAATGCAGGAGCTGCTGAGCTGCGGTCACTTGGCAGCAGCAGTTTTCAGGTGACACACCAGGAACCAGAGAGGAGGGAGTAATTTTATGGTTGGGTCACAACACGAGGAACTGTATTTAACGGGCCAGAAGGTTGAGAACCACTGGACTAAGGTTTATGAGTTGTAATTGGACAGGAGGTTTGGGATGGGTAGATTGTGACTGTGCAGTCTGGGTGCTCACCGGCTAGAATTTTGGAGTTCAATTTTGTTCTTTAGAGATGGCACAGGGAGACTGAATATCTCCATGCCAACTGGCTCTTCAAGGAGTTTTGATTGGGTTTTCCTGACCTGAAGTCAGGAGAGGTAAGGATGACTGCTAAGGAGTCCTGAGCGCTGAGGTAAAGGATAGAGGTGTATTTTACAGGATGGCATCTTAGTATTGTTTCCTTGTGCATTCGGGCAGTAAGAATGAAGGTTTTGGCCTTAGCCAGTTTATCTCAGTGGATAGAGTGTCAGCCTGCGGACTGAAGGGTTCCTGATTCAATTCTGATCAAAGGCATATGCCCGGGTTGCAGCTCAATCCCCAGTAGGGGGCGTGCAGGAGGCAGCCAATGGATGACGTTTCTCTCTAACCCTCTCCCTCCCTCCCTCTCTAACTCAATAAAAACCTATTTTTTAAAAAAGAATGCAGGTTGTGTCTGGCAACGGATTAATTGGTCTGATTACAAAACGAGGGCAAAGAAGAGAGGACGCAATGCAACGCTGATTCAACAGCAGACGATTGACTGATAAGAGGATAGGGAAACTGAAGCCAAGACTGCTTGCAAGTTGGTTTCGGCCGAAAACGCCCACCCACCGCGGCACTCCCTGCTTTCACCCACCTCCAAATTGGCTCAACCAACAAGGAAAATGGCACCACGCCTGAGGGCGGGACCGGTGGCGCATGGAGAGCTCTGATTGGTTGAGAGTGACACTGGCCGCCTCCCAGCCCCTCCATTGGCCAACTCCATAAGACTAGGAACCTGGGAGGCAATGGGTCGGAACTAGGTTGTCACGGAGCCCGCAGGCCAGCTC